TTTCCAAGATGAGGAACGTTATTGACATAAGGCAAGCGCTAGTAATCAGTATGTCCTCTTTCAGGTACCGGCAACTTTACAGCTTTCTGCTTTTCTTCGCTTTCTTGTTTGTCTCCCATGTTCATGCTCTCACCAAGACTGAAAAGAAAATCGTTTACTTCACCAACACTTGCCGGCCGACTTCATATACAGATATATATATATACATATATATATATTAATTTATACGGGTGTTTATACAACTTCTAAGCCACCAAATAGATATTTGATCTTCAGAAAGATCTTTGCAGGATGTGAGATTTGAGTGTGCAAATAAAATGACTGTACACTGTAAACAAGTGAAAGAAAATTGGAGAATAAGCGAATCAACTATTACCAAAAGTGAAAAATGCCGAGACAAGTTGTGCAACTTTACTTTAATCCTTTCAAAGAACATAAGCAAATGGCAGAAAAAATATCAGAGGAATAAATCCTTCAAATGGCATCTTATCTACAATTTGCTTTAATAAGTTCCGAGAAATGAATCTAGCAACAGTCTGTTTTCGCCCCATAAAAATTTGTAATCAAGGTATGTTGAATTAATCATTTTAGAAAATTTATATTTACAAAAAATTAGATATACCTTTGTTGAATTAATGAGATATTTTTTAATGGTTTTATTTCTATGCTATATATTTGAAAGAAAGTTAATAACTGAATTATTTAGTATAACCATTTAGCTGAGTTTCTGCGCCGTCATCAGTACCTCAACCAAACAGGGTCTTACCACACCCACAGCGAACTGTAGAGCGCTTGCTCAGTACGACACCGTTTGAAACTTGTTTTCCCTCCATTTCTATGCTCTTCTTCAACGGACATGACATGAACCATTCATTTTGGAGTAGCAAAGAAAGTGAACGCTTTTATTCACCCTGTGCAGATGAGGTTTCATGTATGCCCAAAACATCTCAAGCCTCTATTGTTGGTTTGCAAAGATAAAAAAACTATAGCCCAAATCCATGCTTTCATGATCTTGACTGGTTTCTCCACCCACGGAAACACCATTGGCCGCTTAATAGCATCCTATGCGCGCATGGACAATATCTCTTCAGCCCGTAAACTGTTTGAGAATTTGCCTCGGAGAGGTGTCGATGCTTACAACGCCATGATTATCGCATATTCTCGTAATGGTAACCCAGGAGAAGTTATGGGTCTCTACAAACGGATGGCTATGGAAGGAGTTAGACCTGATAGCTCTATTTTCACGGTGGCTATTAAAGCGTGCATCAGCTTGATGGATATGGAAATGGGGGAAGAAGTTTGGCGTCGAGCTCTGGATTCTGGTTATGCAGGTGACGTGTTTGTTGGATCATCTATGTTGAATTTGTACGCAAAATGCGGGAAGATGGATGAGGCAATGGTGATTTTTGATCAGATGACAAGAAAGGATCTTGTCTGTTGGACTACAATGGTGACAGGGTTTGCTCAAAGTGGGCGGCCCAGGGATGCCATTGAAGCGTATAGAAGAATGCAAAAAGAGGGAATGGAAGGAGACATAGTTGTAATGGTAGCATTGCTTCTGGCTTGTGCGAATCTTGGGGACTTGAAAGCTGGTCTTTCAATACATGGGTACATGACAAGGCGAGATCTTCCTCTGGACATCGTGATTCAGACCAGCCTTGTGGATATGTACGCCAAGCATGGATTTGTAGAGCTTGCTGCTCATGTGTTCAGAAAGATGTCTCATAAGAATGTAGTTTCATGGGCGGCATTGATCTCTGGCTATGCTCAAAATGGTTTTGCAGGGAAAGCTCTTGACTTGGTGATGGAGATGCAGGATTATGAATTCAAACCGGATTTGGCTTGTCTTGTTGGTGCACTTTTAAGCTGTTCGCAAGTTGGGTTTTTGAAACTGGGCAAATCCATACATGGTTACATTGTGAGAAATCTTGATTTTGATCGAATTGCTGCTACTTCTTTGATTGACATGTATTCAAAATGTGGAGAACTTTCTTCTTCACGTATCATGTTTGATCAAATAGATTCTAGGGACTTGATTTCTTGGAATGCAATGATTGCTAGCTATGGAGTCCATGGACACGGAAGGGAAGCTCTGTCA